CTACATATTATACGTTATAACGTTCTAATTAAGAGAGAAGAATGAAGGGTGGCAAAAAATATCGCTACGATTAAATTAAAGAAATACGCGCGTGGTAAGAAGTAGTCGACCGAGCAAAGGGAAAGAGAAGAAAGTGAAACGCGTGTTACAGAGAGCGAGGATGAACAAAACGGTATCGTGAGACGTTGCACGACATTACACAATGTATATATACAGAATTTTTTCAGTAAGAATTATCACTTGATCGTTTTCGTTGTTTTTCAGACATGTGAAAAAACTTTGTTCGCAAAGGTTGTTCAGTACAAAGATGGCAATACTAATTTCTTCGTGGTTGAAAGAGTTTCGAAGGATTTCAAGATCCTAAGCTTCATTCTTTTTAAATGGAATCGTATGCGTTAGCTCTCGTATTCTCTATAAAATTGTATTATCGTACATAACATGTAAAAAATATTGTTACTACATATTATATAAAAATACGTATTGTACATTATATTATATTTTTATATAATATGTAGAAATATTATTAGAAGAATATTCTAATTTTAGTTTTTTACAAAATCTATGCATGAAAGGCAAAGACAATATAAACACAATACAACGTTGTTTCCTTTGTCTTTTATACGATAGAGTTAACAGACTCAAGGTACAAAAATATTTCTGTGCCTTGAACACTAGACAAATCTTTTGAATAAAGAATAAAGCTCTTCTTTCATATCTCTAGAAACGACAGAGACAGTCAAGCGCGCTAATTCTTACTAAAACACTCTGTATAATATATCTTTCACGGTCCCTCTTTTACTTTTAATCTCTTTCGTGAAAATCGCGAATCTTCGCGTTTCCGATTGATCTTGTAATCCCGCTTATCTATCTTTCTTTTTCTTTCGCCTCTTCTTTTCCTGTTCTTGTGTGTACTCGTAGAGGAGACACAAGCATCCGCCAATCGATCTTTCGTGGTCGCGTCGTGGATTCAGTTTCATCTGGATTTCTTCGCGTTACGTCGTGATCCAACGATCGATCGTCAATACCACTGCCAATACCATCCTATATAAATTCGGGCTCTCGTTCTCTCTCGCAGATACGCAGGAAAAGAGATCGCGTGTATTATTTACGATCGTAGTCTCTCCCCAGCGAAAATTTCAGTCGCGTCCTCGTCGTCGCGTTCGCACAAGGATCATCGTAATAAACGCGTTGAACGTGCTTGTGGAACGTGTTACATCATTGTTATAAAGAATAGTTTGTCTCAGAGAAAAAAAAGGGGGAGAAACGAGA